AAAAGAAAGAAAAGAAAAGAAAAAAGAACAGGGTTGGCCAGATAGCTCAGTGGATTAAAGCACCTGCTTAGGTAGTTGCAGGGGTCAGGGCTCGATCCCCAGAGTGCCATGCCAGCCCTGCTACCAGGTATGCTGAGAGGGCGATTGAGACTGGGCGTGGTGGCATGCGCCTCTAATCCCAGCTCTTTGGGAGGCTGAACACAGGCAGATCACTATGAGTCCGATCTACAAAATGAGACCCTGCAGACCTTGTGGACCCTTACTGAAAAAAAAAAAAAAAAAAAAAAGAAAGAAAGAAAAACAGTTGAAACTGGATTATTTCAATGGTGGTTCTCCCAAGAAAATGCCCTTTCATCCCAAATTCTGTGACTCACAAAGTTCACTAGCTAGCAAGCTCCCCATTTGAGTATGTATGTATGTAATTTTATGTCATGAGCTTTTGCTTTGCCAGCTCAATTTCAGTTATGCTCATTGAAGACAGGACTGGGTCTTCACTGTTTTATTCCATATAATTCAGCACAATGTAAGTGCTAAGGAAATTTTGAATAATGAAAGAACAATCTTAGAAACTCCATTTATTTTTTAACAAACTGTAATTTGCAAGACAACATATGTCCTTATTGACGCAACAGAGTAAGTTGATTTCTAATTGCTGCAGGAATTTTCTTGAGCATGACAGTTGTCTTAAAGAGAGCTTACAACAACTTAAACATCTAAGAATAGCCTGAAAGTAATGCTAGCATGGGCCATACTTCCCCGGTGTTAGGAAAGAAACTAAAACTGTATGTCAGAACCTAGTCTCTCAATTAAAGAAATAAGGTTTTGGGGAAAACAGACAAAAAACAATGTATTTCAATCTTAAGCTTATCATCTTCCCTAGAAACAAAGCCTATTGCCTTTGCTGTTAGATGACAATGCGGTAGAGTTCAAGTGTTTGTGAACTGCTTTAAATAAAGATGAAAAATATGTATATAAAGAAAGTAGAATCTTCTAAAATGTGGCATGTTTCAATTTTTATTTCTTCTTTTGAGTTGTTACACTAGGGAGACTATAACACAAAAAATGGAAAGTGAGAACTTAAAGATTAAACAATGAAGAGAGAGCAAGGAGAAAAGCTAGGAAACCTGGCAGGGGCAAAACCATATCTTTATATATACAAGATGGTTGGGCAATGGTCCTGAGAATGTTCATTAGGTTTTTGAAACTAGCAGTTAATCGGTGGGATTCTCACCCTGACTAACTATATATACTGATACCTGTGAACTAAGCAACTGCACTGAGGATAGCAAGGTGTAATAGGAGGGCCACGCTTGGAGTGCTTGTTATTCTGGTCTTCTAAATGTGTACTGCTTCTAATGTCATATCAATTACTGCTATACTATCTCTCAAGTAAGTGTTTAAAAAAAAAGTAATAAAAGAAAACAAGAGACAAGGAAAAAAATATCATAGGACTGTCCTACTTTTAAAAAAAAATGTGGCACAGTATAGTTTGTCCAAAGTATGGCTTATATCGGAAATCTAATTGAATGCTTACAAAATTCAAAGAACAAACCAAATGGTTAGATGCACAAGCTTGCACATATCAAGTTTTGAGGATACAATAAAGTAGTACACTTCTCCAGAACAACTTTCATGCTTAAAATGCATGAAGAGCTCACTTGTGATATAACACCAAGAAACACAAATTCTATTTTCTTCTCGCTATCTTTTGAGAAACAAAAGATTTCCTGGAATCCTTAAATGGCAGAGTCCTTTGGTTTTATGTCTTAGTATGATACACATTTCAGTCATGAGAGACGAGTGAAAAATAGTAATTAAGAACTATTTTGAGTTCAGTGCAGTGGTTTTTGGAATTTTCCTTGAACCCATACTCGATGCATTTTCACTTGTTTTTTCCTGTTAACTTGTAAGCGATGGTCAACCAGATTTTGCTTTACATCTAATCCGGCCTTGCAGAACATATGGTGGACTTCCCCTTTGAGACAAAAATGGCAGTCAAAGACGGGAAATATGACAGGGGTTGGGGGTGGTAAGGAGCAATGGAATACTGACAGAAAGACTAAACATGCAAATTTCATTTATAACAAGAAATAAGGCCTAGCACAACTGGGTAAAGGAGACCTGTGAAACCAAGTGGGTTTCTTCGCAAACACTGAAGTCTACTGATCTTAAACAGAATAACACAGCAGGCACTAAGCAGTGATGCAACATTACTGGCATTTTAAAAGATGCCCCTCTCTAAGCTTTGGTTGGTATACAGAGTTCCCAGATGGCACATTATACAAGTTTGGGGAAATCCGTGAATTCAGGTATGCAGCTACTGTCATTTGGTATTGTAAGAAATGAAATGAGAAACTGACTAGGTGTAACTAATTTTCTGTAATTTTGGAAGATTCCTTCACTTAACTGTGCTATATTATCAGTTATTTTCATATCTAGTATCACAACATCTACAAACTTTCACACGACACCCCCATTTGAGTGCAGAATGAGACAAGTGACCCTTTAAAGCAGTTTTAACTGGAAAAAGATTAAAAGGCAAGAAGGTCACTTTCAAATTTTTATGTAGATTACAAGCATCAAAGTAGGACGACACTTGATGTTTAATCAACTGCTGAGGTCTCATTTTTATAGCTTTGAGTTCTCCTTGCACATAATAACCAAAGAGTTTTCACAGCTAATTATTTCTTCTTGTAGATTACCATACCTTTTGTAAAGAAATATGCTCGGGTACCATCTCCTCGAACATAAAAGTTTTCAGATAAACAATGCCCTAAAAAATAATACATGAAAAAAACCCCTTGGTATTCCATAATAAAATAAAACTCCAAACAACATGACATGAAATATAAACAAAACATTCTTTAAAACACATGAAAATAACCCCAAAGTGAATATACTATTACCCTTTTTAAAACGAAGCTGAGTCATATCATATCTTCCGTGGTCCCGAAAGAGCAGCATTCCCCCAGGCTTCAGTAATTTAGACAGTCGATTCACAGCACCTTGCATCCTTCGAAAACAAAGTAAGATACCTTCTTTGTGGATATTTTCTGTGATATGCCAGGCTGACCCTTACTGAGACAAAATAAAAAAGAGTCAATAAGGTCAAAGAAATCTAAACCACAAACGTAAAGGCAAGAAAAAATAAACAAACAAACATTGTATAAAGAAGGGGGGAAAAGACAACAACTTGCTAAGGACCACATTAACAGAGCTTAGAGTTTCAAGAAAGCACCTAAATGACCAGACTGGGCCCTTTACAAGTGCTTGATGTATGACATCAAGAGCTGAAGTACAAAAAAAGAAGTTTGCTGATACAGCAAAGCATGATGGTTCTGAGGGAGACTTAAAATAGATGAAGGTGCTTCATTTTCCTTGCAAAACAAAATCTCTGTCAGAGTCATCCCAAATGGTACATATGGAAGCAGGGATCATCCTGCCTCCAAATTAGCTCGTTATTCCTCTGGTTTAGTTCAAAGACACTATCATTCACCTCAGGAAGAAGAGATTATTTTTTTCTTCCTCTGCCCTTTCCACACAGCCATCAAATTCTATGTCCTCTTTTTTCCTTTTATGCCATCTTTGAGTTTGTCTTTCTTTGTTTTCCACTGGTACTCCACTAGTACAAGTCCCTAGTTCTCCAGGCCTAGAAACAGAACTACTATGTGCTTTATTATTCTCCCATCAGTTCTCTGGCATATTACCAATGAATTATTTTGCCCAAAATGATGGTTTTGTCCGATCACCTTCTTGCTCAAAAACTTCCATGACCTCAGTCCATAGGGCAAAATTTCACTTCCTAATAGATCTCTTAGGATTACTTCTGACCCCACGAAACCCTACCACTCTTTTTCTCTACTTCCCATCCTAAAGCACCTCTTCTAGCCCAACTGATAAGTGCTTAGCTCTGGGAAGCCTATGCCTTTGTCCACAGGTTTCCTCTCACAGAATCTCCCCTTCCCCATCTTTCTTTCTTCTTATTTAAATTTTCTTCACACCTCAATTCCTGACTCCATGCTTGAGAAGCCTTGCTTTCTTCCATTTACCATTTACTCTTACTTATGTGGCTTTTGGTCAAATACAACCCCTTGTATAGCAGGGGTGGAAGGCAGATTACGTCACATTATGAAGGAAGTATAGATACTGAGAAAATGAAAGCAAGAAAGAAATATGACAGAGAGAGACAGTATGAGTATGTAGAAAGTTCTTTTTGAATGCTAGGACATAAATAAAGAAAATGGAAAGGGTCAGTATTTCATCCTTGTTTATTACAGATCATATTCATACTGTGCTTATATCCTTGGATTTGGAAACAAAGAAAATCATATTTAAACTTTAAAATAATCACTTTCAAAACAAATTTTATGTGCAGAGCAATATCTCTGTAATTATGAGCAAAACACAAATGAAACTAAAATGTAGGAAAATAAAGAACCAGGTACTTCAAAATACAGCCAACTCCTTCTACAAGTGCTTTTCTCCAACTATCCTCTAATGCCTGGTTCTGTTCTTGATTATACCTGTCCTCTTTCAGAACATAGTTTCAGAGCCAGTAACTGAGACCTGCAGAATGGACAGGGCTGGGGACAAGGGAGGTAAGACAAGATGGCAAAAGATCCTTTTCTTTCTTCTTTCTGGTTGGCAGACTCTGCTATCCTCACCTACCTCTGGATGGAGGGAGACAAAGACAGAAAGAAGAGACTTAGAAAGGAGTATTTTGTTGACTGTTTATGTTTGAATTTATAATAAGTACCTTATACTTTATTTCAATAAGAAGAGTTAGCTTTTTTGGTAGCCTCCTACATCATACGGCCATGTAGGCTGGAATCCCTACTGTCAGGATCTAGCTAACTTCCTTGCCGGTCATTTGAACCAAGATTTCCAAGATGCCATTCTTTTATGGCTTCTACATCTTTCTAGAACTTTCCCAAATCACTACTAGGGTCCTAAATGATCCCAAAGACACTGCTTTGCCTTTTTACTTACTGTTACCTGCCTTTCATTCATTCATCTTAACTTATTTATTTATAGATGCAATCTCATTACTTTGCTCAAGCTGTTTCCAAATTCTGGTGGTGATTTTCTTGCCTCAGCCTCCTAGGGAGCTGGAACTACAAGTGCATGCCACCATACTCATTATCCACCTTAGTTTTAAATCATTTCCATGTAAGTAAGAATATTAACATGATACATCTGGATTTATTTCATAATAAACAGAATGAAATACTGTACCTATAAAAACAATCTTCCTAAGACATTTGTTTCCCTTTCTTTTTAACATTCAATTTAAATCATAAGAAAATACATTATCTAAATTAATTTCAAATAGCCTTTTGTAGTCTTACTTAGAATTTATGTTTCCTATTATGGGTGCCAAATAGGAAATCTTGTTCTTTATCCACCTACACCATCCTCTTAACTATTCATATAAGGAAACAAAATACACTGATGACCTCATTAGCAGAAAAGAAACTGAGAGGAAAATGTAGCTTTGTGGAACCTGGTATGTTACAAATATAACCTTGTTTTGGATTTGGAAACCTAACTTGTTCTTCACAGCAAAGTGCTTATCTCTGAACGGGATGTAAAAAGGGCATTAGTGACTTTGCAATTGCAAAGGAAAAAACACATGGTAAGTTAGTTTCTGTGGGAAAGTGTCACACTCAAACAGAAATTATTGATCCAGGTCTGAATCTTCCATAGGGGATTGTGAAAACTCAATTTTAAGAAACTTCTAAAAGGCACATACTGATTCCATACATGTGGTTTAACACACAGAAGATGGCAACATTTTGAGGGAGAAGATCACTATAATAGCTGGTAACATCTGTTTGTTTCCTCTCTAAAGAAAAGCTACCTTTATAGTTTTCAAATACTGTGCAAACTTAAATATTTAAGTCATAAATATTTAGGTGGTTAGAGATGATGCTCAGTGATAGAGTGCCTACCTAGCACACACAAGTCCTGGGTTTGACCCCTAACACACACACACACACACACACACACACACACACACCCCACACAATTTTTTTTCTGCCAAATCAGGAAAAGAAAAACTTGTATAAACATTTTAATACTTATTTACTGAGACATCATGAGAATGATATAAGTTACCACTGGCCTCCACAATTACTAGAGGTGCTCATAACGGTGGCTATTAGCTTCCAGACATTTATTAGTATGGCAAACTGCTAAAGTGTGTATATATCTATGTCTATGTCTATGTCTATGTCTATATGTCTATGTCTATGTCTATGTCTATGTCTATGTCTATGTCTATGTCTATGTCTATATCTATATCGTGATTGTTGTGCTAGGCCCCTCTTGGATCATAAAGGTACAAGAATAACCTGGTAAATTGCTATAAACCCTAATTCCTTACTGGGCTTCTCTAAAGCAAAAATTAAAAAACCCATCATCAGACTTGTGTGAAGTTGAACAGATCCATAGCCCACCTTCACGAACATTCAGGAAACTGCTAAATCAAAGATGTTTGTTTCCGATCACCAAGAACAATTTCCCTCTTGGGAGTCTATTAGGCTGCTCTGAATTTGTAATTTCCTTGAAGCACTGTCACTTTTAATAGGTATGTGTCTTGCCAGAATATGCTCACTTCATTCTGACAGTGACAGAAAGCTCGCTAATGAAGTAGTTTGACCAGTTTCTTTCTTAAAGTCTGAAGAAAAGAAAACTGCATTTAAAAGGCTGCGTATTATACATAACGTAGTTCACTAAATAATAAATTCAAGAATTGTCACTTGCTTTGATAGCTCTAAAACCCAGTACTTACAGAGGCGCTTTGCTCCTCTGCTTTGCCCTTTTGTCTTGATTTACCTGTCAGGATGAAGAGAAGAGAGCACAAAGACCAGGAGAACGACATCCAGGCTACCGTCTGGGAAAGGGTAGGGTGAGCCCTCATCACATACATCATGAACAAAGGCAGAGCATGGGGCGGCTCTGTAGGATGAGTGCGACTGTCAGTATCAGGAAACACAAAACCAGTGCAAAGGAGTTAGCAGAATTCCCCAATTTTTTAACATAAGGTCAACTTTTTTACTTTTTCTCTCAACAGCCTTTCCCCTGTAAATCTAAATGTACTTTATCTCCAGTTCAGTATTCATGGCCTTATTTCAGACTGCCCAAAAAATAAAGTAGACCACTTAGACTTGGTAACAAATATCCTCTGCAACCTCTGTGCAGATTGAAGAGCGGGTAGGGTAGCCCTCTAAGTCAGGCGGTGTTGCTTCCCACCCTGCAGGTTTCAGAGCTGCTGCGATCCTTGATTCTCCTATCACTTTCTCCACATTACATTTCCTTCAAAACACAAATACCTTACATACAGTCACTGTGAGATCACGCAGATGGCTGCACAACTACACAAATACACTACACAAATACACTAAATGAGATGGTGTGTGAACAATCTCTAATTTTTAAAATTGCATTGCAGCAACAACATATACAATGTCTACAGAAACAATATCAGAATCAACAAAATAACATTGATGTACCCTAAGAAGTATGCTTGCAAATGTAGTTTTCTTCCTCTTTAGGCTTTTTATTATTTTGGAGAATGAATAATTATTACTCTTACCAGAAATTTAAATTGTACTTAACTTTTTTTTAACTTTTACTTAATTCATTTTCCATTTGTTTGTCTTTTCCTTTTTACAGTAATGCTTGCTGGCACTAAAGGTTTGTGCAAAAAGCCCAGGTATGCACTGTTTTCCTTATAGTCTAAGTTTTTATCAAATATTTTCCTGGATTTTTCTGCAGTTCTGGGGTCTGAACCCAAAACCTTCATACTGACATACATCTCTAGTGCTTATTTATTTTTTGAGATAGGCCCTAGCTAAGCTACTATGTTGCCCAGGCTAGGCTCAAACTTGACATCCTCCTAACCCAGTCTTCTGGAGTGTAGGATTATGGGTTAGACACTGTCATACACTTTCCCACATTTATTTTGTTTATTGAGACAGGATCTTGCAGTGCGGTCAGGGTGGCCTTGCACTTACTATGCAGCCTGGCCTCAAACTCATGGTGATTCTCCTCCTTCAGCATCCTGAGTGTCCCAGATATTTTTATTTCAAAAATTTTAATTTAATGCATACTTACTATGTTTAGATAATGTGTAAGGCTTTAGATATCCAAATATGAATAAGATCTTCTTTTAGTACTTATTTACTTAAAAATTCAATTTTGGGGGTGGGGAATTTTTTACCTAACTGAAAATCCTGGCTAATTATAACCGGTTTCCTCTACACTTAAACAAGGTATTTGGAGCAAGGTTAGCCATGGACAGGCACAGAGTCTGAATTTTGTAGGTCAGTACCTTCCTGTGTGGTGCTGGCCTTTCTGGGGCTAGGGATCCCTTGAGGACTCTAATATTCAAAATAATATCTATTGTTTTAGTGCAATTAATATCAGGCATCAACTGATGGAATATTCTTAGAAATTATAAAAGTTCAGTTGAAAATGGCTACAGAGAACATTTAATCCAGAAACATTTCAAAATAATCTCTTTAAAAGCAAATAAATTATTTTCATATGGACTCTCTTTAAAAGAAATATAAGATTTACCTTTATAAGCTCCACAGCTCCAGGGGCAAAATCACAACAATAAAGGAAGAATTCTGGAGTATTCCTATGAAGGTAAAAGAGAGACCTAAATCTAGAGTTCAGTCTTGTTCAAATTAAAGAAAAAAGGGTAGATACAACTTGTTGGTAAGTTGTTCAGTAGAATTTTGGACAACACTTGGCTCATCATGTCTTCCTTTTGAGCATTATTTTCTGAGCTGGTGCCTGGGCACCTTTCTGAGTCAGCACTGTCTTGATCACCTACCAATTACAGTAACTCTGGCCCTAGTTTTCACTCCTCCTTTCTTTGGCCCTTTCTGCCACGAAGCTCATCCCACTCCGTTCATCCCAATGCCACATTCCTGCACTGTTTCCTAAGCCTCCTTTTTAAGATCTCTGCCCCAGCCCTGTAGCTCCTCTTAGCTTAGCTAGCTCTACTCCTCCTCAAAGCTCTCCAGCTCCCATGTCCCTTCATTCCTCTTTCTTTTGGTTCTTAGGCCTTTCACAGAGGCTCTGATGCTCTAACAGGGTAGACACACATACACTTAGATATTTATGAGGAATCACTATGTTGTTGAGCTGGACTTGAACTCCAGAGCTCAAGGACTCCTCCTGCCTTAGCCTAATAGCTGGCACTATAGCCACATACCAAAGCACCCATATAATACTTTTTATTAGAATATAGAGTGGCTAATAATATAGTAAGAATACAAAACTTGGAACCAAGTATATCTGTTTTGAAATCATGTTTTTGACAGTTATTAACTTTGTGAATCTGACTTAAAATCTCTTAGACTCAGTTGTTTTATTTACAATATGTAAATAAATTCAATTTTGTTTTTCAGGAGAGTGTTTATCCATATGAAAATCTTAACTAATTTTAATTACTTCCTTCTAAAACTAGACATGTTCTGTTTGGTCTTTACTTGGAATTCAGTAACAGTGCTGGTCCCTGGTTATTCATGGGCAGGTGCATGCTTTGAGTTCTGTGGTCAGTGTCTTTCCTGACCACCCTATGTATGCTGCTAACAAGTAACCCTTTCCTCATGTTGCACAGAGTCATGTCTGAGTCACACAAAGCGGTCAGACTCCTGAAGATTTTATGGTTAACTCAAGAACATGCCTAGCTTCATACAACTTTTATAAGGGTGTGGAGAAGACCAGCACCCTATGAGGTAAGTCCAAAGGTTCCAAAGTCAGGGTGGCACTGGCGAGTGAGGGGAAGTAGCTCAGGGATTAGAGGTGAGCATCATGAGCCATCGATGAGAAATAATTATGAGAGCTCATGGCAGCACGTGGCAGGATATACAGTCAGGCCTTGAGGCATGAAATTAGGACCTCTACTTTGATTCAAGAAACATTTCAAGCAAGGTGAAGTTTTAAATAAATATCTAACACAAACACAAATATGATTTAACAAAATTTCACCTAGGATCTTAAAGGCAACTCAGTGAATACTATGTTCACATATACTTCATTCATTCTGTGGCCTGAGGGACTTGCATTCAATTTAAAACCTGTCTAAACAAACTAAAGTATGAAGAGGACTTGGTTATGAAAAGTTAGCCATTACTGAGTCCAAGTTAAAACTTGGACTACTTGTTTTTCTTTTCATCCATCTCATTAAAACCAGTTATTTTATTTTAGCACATACTTCTGCTGTTCCCTGTGGAATCCATATAATTGTGACTTATAATTTGCTGGGTGGCCACACATGTTTGAAATGTTTTCAGTTACCACTCAGGTATATATAGCATTACATGGCATAATAGCTAAAGACAGGGCTCTGCCACTAGACTGCTAAAGGTTTGGTTCCTGGCTCTACCATTCAGCTGTGTGACTGAGAGATAATTACTCTCTTTGTACTTGTTTCCTTGTCCTTAAAATACAGAAAAATATGGTGTATCTGGTTGTAAAAACCAAATGAATTCACATAATAAAGTTTCTAGAAAGTTGGCAAAAAAAAAACTGCCCAACTCACAGTAAGCACTCAATAAGTATTAATCATTATTATAATTGTTATTATTTCTTTTAAAGGAGAACTGCTTCTGACCTTCAGCAACTTACAAGCGCACACGGTCCTTTAAAACCCTGTATCTAACTCAGAACACTTTTTGGATCCAGCTACAGGTAGGTCATTCTAAAAAGTCTGCCATCTACGTTTGGGTAGTTACTTAATACCAACCAGACATGGAGAGAACAGGCCAGTAAGGAAAGCATGTGCCATCTGCCATGTGTTCTGCCAGGCTGGTGTTACGACCTCTGAGAGAGAGTTCCCACTACATCAGCAGCCCGAGTCGAAGTCTTATGACCACCCAATGACTTTCTGGTGACTTTCTTGAAATCAGCTGACTGCCTTGGCCCTTTTCCCAGAAAACAGGTGTAAATAACACTACTACCACCACACCACCAAACACTCTCTTGGCAGGGGGCTTAAGAATTAAATGATCCTTGGAGAATGATCTGACCTCTCCATTCCAAAGGCCTTATTATGTAAAATATTCTGAAAATGTAAAAATATTAATTCTGTACTCTCAAGAAGGAATAAAACATAATTTCTTGGGTGGGAAAAATTTCAATTCCTCTATTTGGAAGGCTAATGACTGGATTTTTTTCAATTAAAACAAATTATTTATTTATTTATTTATTTATTTGGTACAGGGTCTCACTATGCATAGTGAGATTCATAGTGATTTTCCTGTATCAGCCTCCCAAGTGCTGGGATTACAGGTGTGTGCCACCATACCCAGTTTCCATGGCCAGCTTGGCACACCCAGGTTCTGGGGCCAGCACGGCATGTGGTACTGGCGATTGAACCTGGGTCCTTGCACTTGCCAGGCAGGCCTTCAGATGACTGAGTTATCTCCTTAGTCCAACTGGTTGGTTTTAAAGTAAATTAATTATCTCAGGTTATTGGTGTTTTGTGATTTCTAAAACATAGGTATAAGGCAAAGAAAGACAAAAGCCAAGAAGAAATAAGTGAGAAGCCAAGAGTTTACATTATTAGTTAGAGGGATAAGTACAGAGGGAAAAATATAATGAGTAATCAGATTAAATAATCAATATAGTCTGAGCTCTAACTATCTATGTTACACTGTTCAGCAACCTGGAAAATCAGATTAGTATAAAATATGCTCTCAGCCTCAATGAATATAAGACATGGAAAGACAAGGAATAAAGAAATGACCTGCTAAACAATACCTTGAGATTAGTCATGAAGTAACATGTAACAATTGCCAATGCAGTATATGCATGTATGTATATTAGAAGTTCATTTATCACTGGGGTGAACGAAACTGGCTATATAGTATAAGGGAATAGAAACTTTTAGCTCAAAAACTGGGAAAGGGAAAATAAAGATAAAAAACAGAAAAAGAAAGGCCACTTATGACTAAGTTCACCAGCATCATCTGGGCCTGGACACTTCAACTGGTTATTGCAAGATATTACCAAGCCACTGCTTGTCATGTTAGGTATATAAAAGTATTGGAGAATGTCCTGATACTCTGGAGATGCAACACATATAATCAAAGATAAAGTGTAATGACGCTGACATTATGTTAAATCAGGATGGAGGACTTAAGGAAATTCATCGTGCTATTCTTTGCTTTTTCAAGTGCTTTTATGTGAAAAACTTAAAGGATTACATTATTACATTAAAAAATCTGCAAAGAGAATGAAAATTCCATCAGTGGCTATATTGGGATAAAGGGGACAATGAGTGATTTTCCCACTACCCCTTTCCTCTGTGGAAATGTTCTGCAATGTGCTCATGCTGATTTTATAATGGAAAAATGGTATGAAAGCAATTGTGCAAACTTTAAAAAAAGAAGAGAACCTAACACATCAGTGTCAGGAAAAGTTGTCTGGAGAATTTTGTGAGGTGTGTCATTTTCATCATGGAAATTCTAAAACACAGAGATGAGATGGTGAACAGGAAGTGTGCATCAGGAAAACATTATTTACTTCTATTGTTTTGAGTCTTAGGGTTAGTTGCTGCCACTTCCAAGCAATTTCAAGCCGAGATACAATGATCTGACACTCAGAGGTATGTTTTGTTTGGTGTTTTGAGACAGGGTCTTCCTATGTAGTTCAGGCTGCCCTTGAACTCACTATGTAGCTTCAGCAGGCCTCGAACTCACAGGAAGCCTCTTGCCTCAGCCTCCCAAGTGCTGGGGTTACAAGAGTGCACCATCTCACCCAGATGTGAGGATCTTATATTGGGTATTACTCCAAAAATGATGACAAAATAAAATGAGGATTAAGGTGTAAGTGTTAAACTCAGATTTCCATGTGTAAAATGGCATCTGAGTATCCAGAAGGAACAAAGAGCCTCTGAGACTGGGCAACTCACTGTAGTGAGGTGAAGTCTCGTTGAAGGATAACATCTTTGGTCTTTTTCTTATTCTCTCATCCACTTAAACACAACCTTAAAAGAATCTGACTAGAAGCTCAAGGTGGATAATCCATGACTGTGAAACACCATCTTCAGAGTACTGCTGAGTTCACATGAAATTAGCACTGAGACTGAGATGGTTCTTTTGAAATGTATGTTAGTCACTGTTTATATGGGAATTAAAAATAATACTGTATATACATGACAACATATTTATAAGATTTCTCAACATCCCTTAAATATGTAAACTTATATAGAATAAAACTCTAAAACTTACTGTAAGGTGTTCAGAATTGGAAAAACACTATTTCCAGCACCACAGCCAACCTAAAATCAAGAGAGCAACAAATATCATGAATGCATTCAATTTTCCTCATCATGTCAAATTTTCTATGGTAGAGCTTTCTAACACAACAGAAATGAGATAAATCACAAGAATAACACTGAAATATTTGACTATAGAAACATTTAAAATCTGTACACACCAAAATCCTAAATAAGCCAAATTAAAAGGTGATCAACACACTGAGAAAAAAATATTTGTGATAAATATTGATAAAAGGCAGAAGTCATTAAGAAAACAAGCAAAGGAAGTGAATGTGTTGAATTCCACAAGAATTATAGATGGCTCCTAAACATTTGAGAATAATGTGACCTATTTAGTAATAAAAAACATGTAAATTAAAACAAGGTTCAGTATTTGTCTAACAAAGTGAAAAACTCTAAAAGTAAGAATTTTTCAACCAAGGAGGATATGATACGAAAGAAATAACTGGTATTAGCACAAAGTCCTAGAAAGCAATTTGGCAATACTTAAGAACATTAAAAATTTCCATAAATTATAAAGTAGTAAATCTAACCTGACAATACAAGAAAATGGAGCTATACTCCAAGACATTTTGCCACAGAAAACTTGGAAACAATTTAAATGCCCAGTAGCATGGGAATAGATCATAAAATTATAGTACTCCACATAGTAAAATATTTTACAGTCATTTACAGAGAATTTTTAAAGAGAACATCCTATTATATAATGTTTAAAAGAAAACTCCCCAAATACATCTATAATATAAGAAAATACAATATAATTAGTAAGAGAAAGAAGTAAAAGTTAAATCCTTTGTGAGATTGTGGGTAATTTATCTTTGTTTTTTGGCAAATTCTTTGCGAACAATATTTTTTAGCTTTATAACCAGACAAATTTAATTTCAAAAGTAGAAAACCAAGCTTTATACTAGGTTACAGCAAATTAATTATATATCTCACTCACTTCTGTTTTACCTAAAAAGTGGTAATACCAAATAAGAGTAAAAATTTAGACCAAAACTTTATCAGTACTAAAGACTACCATCAAGATAAAAATGAAAAGAGACAATTTAAAAGAAAAAAGCAATAAAATAAAAGCTATAAAGAAGAGACAAATTAGGGTCAGGGAGATAGCTCAGTAGAATAAGCGCCTGC